TTTGCGCCTGGGTTTTGATTCACTGACAAACATCGCTTCCGATAAGTCGAATGTAAAAAAAATATAACATCACCTTAAGTAGGATTATTAATGCATTATTCAAAGTATTTTATATTACGTTATGATACTGTAGTTTAATAAATAGGATTAACTATAAATACGTACTGGTGTGTGTGTGTGTGTGTGTGTGTGTGTGTGTGTGTGTGTGTGTGTGTGTGTGCGCGTGTGTGTGTGTGTAAAGTGTCCCAAAATTCGAGACTCAAAATATAACAAAAAAGTTTTCGAAAAACTGAGTAAAAAAAGTTATTTGTAAATTTTTTACTTAATTTTTTCGAAAACTTTTTCTTGCTACAATATATTGAATCGCGAATTTTGAGACATAAATATATATATATAAATAAATTTTTATTTTGTGCAATAGTTTCTAAAATATAACTTTAAATAGGACCAATTACAAACTATGTTTAGATTACAAACTACGTTTAGTCACCGTGAATATTAATTGCGTTAAAAATGTGCTCATCAGCGCTCATTAAACTATCGCACGTGCGACTCATGAATAGATGACTATCTAAACATAATCTATAACAAGTTATATTTAAATTTTTATTATCTAAAAAAAATACTACTTAAAATAAAAATAATTTAGAAATAATTTTTTTATTAATTATCTCATTGCCCGTAAACTCTATTATATTATATTATTTTTAATTTCAAGAACCCTATTATTTAAATTTTGTTTTTTTTTTAATTTTTCAAAAACTTTTTTGCTATGATATTTTTAATCATAAATTTTGAAATATCTTGTATATAGGTACATTGTTACTAGCATAAATATAATATTTTACAGAATATTTTTACTGATTCGCAACGCATTAACACGATCGCGCGAATACATTCACTCCAAATGTGCAACAACCGGTTTGCAAGCTGAAGTTTGATACCAGAAGAAGAGTAAAAGCGTCGATCGGCTTACAAGATTGTGTGAGCACCGTTGCGTGCAACACGGATATTCTTACAAATCGATTTTTCATTTTTCATCTTGAGCTATTGTCGTACAGGCACGACGAGATTCTCGAATAACTGATATGATTTCTTTGGTTGATGTAACGATAAATTAGATAGTCTAGTCTTCGCAATTCAAAAGATATTCAGATATTCAATATAGCTTTTCCAATTTTACTTTTACTTTAATGTAAGATTTATTAAGTTGGAATTTTCATATCTCATTGTCAGTCGAAAGAAAATATATTATATATTGCAGACTGCCAACGTAATGATGAATGAAAGTTGGAAAATAACGAGAGATAGTAAAAGTGCAACGGTTGGGTGATATATCATGAAATAACTAGTATTAAAAAAGGAAATAAGGAGTGTAATTAATTAAAGTATTTCAAGTTATGCAATGTACGAGAAAGAGAGAAAGAGAGAGAGAGAGAGAGAGAGAGAGAAACAGATTTTTAAAAAATAGGAAAGTACCTCCAATGTATTACACATACATTAATACAAACAATTTTCTATTTAGGCTCTTAAGCATAAATATGTTTATAGACGATTCTCGCTTATAAATACGTCATTCCTAAAAGTGTTTGTAAATACTCAATTCTAATAAAAATCTTCGTAAACAAACAATTCCCATCTGTACAGATATATAGTCTTTGTGTAAAAACAAAAGTATATTACAAAGGAAAATGCGCATATAACTGATAAAAATATCTCCTTAGAAACGCAATTATATTTAACTTTGGACATGTGGCAATAACGAGAGGTAAACCGTCAAGTAAATTTGTGTAATTCGTATAAAGAGAAATTTGGGAAAAAACCAATAAAAATATTAAAAGCGAAAGATATACTAACACGTGTCTCAGTAGCAACGAGTCTTTTCTCGACTACAAAGACTGAGAGGACGAATGACTCATGGAAGAAAAACTTTACTTACACGAGTCTCGGTTTCACTTGTTATCATTACTCATACTCCACAATATAGTCAGTCTTCATTGCTATTTTAGTCTTTCCCGTAATATAATAAAGTTCGCTCGTCCAGTTTTATTGACAATTCATTGGATTCGAGCCGATCTCTCGATCTCGCGCTGTTTTATGCGAGTCATTTGCAAAGATGTTATGTATTTTTTCAAGAATCTGCTTAATCCCGATAACGACGTCTATTTGTCCTCGTCGCAGAGATAAAAGATGCGCAAGCAGGAAAGACGTCGCGACTATCGTAATGAACACGTTTCTATGAAATTTCCGATTCGGAAATATATCCTTATTGCAAAAGCAAGTGACGCTATCGCATAGTGTAATAACATTCGTACATATCTTCTACATATTCAAATAAAATATTATGTTTTGCATCTTTATGTTTTTATACAAACTGTTAAAAAAGTCAAACGAAATGAACGTAATAACAAATGTCATCCGTACGACAAAAACTAACTTATAAAAAACGTGAGCGTCTAAAAAAACATATTACAAATGACTTTATTCTTTTACATATAAAAAGACAAACAAAGTCAAAAGAAAAGATTTATAAAGACATCAGATTTATCAAATTATGGAAAAATTATATTAAATAATATATAATAAAATATTGCACATTTGGAAAATCTCTGCATATTTAAAAACAAGAATCGTATGATGTTCACTCACAGTTATCAATTCACAGCTAAACAAACATACAGACGTCTTTCAACTTGTTTAATAGAATTATGGCTGATCTTATCAAGATTACAAAATTATTATTTTAGGAATTTTTGCTGAAAAAAAATTTACTTTAATCCCGATAGGAAATTAAAAAGATCATTGCAAAAACATTTTTTTCAACGTGAGAATATTAATCTTTCTTCAAATTCAACTCTTTAAAATTGAATTAATGAAGTTAAGGAAATTGGTCAAACACTGAATTAAATTTAAAAAAAAAATAGCCTCTCTGATCTATTCGTTTTTTTTTCTTTCATAAATATTCGGACATTTTGTTAGCGGATATTCCTCACAATCTCGCGGAAATAATATCGTGGATTTTATTTTCAATTTTCTGATATCTCTCGAATAATCGAGAGCGTGAAAAAGAATATCAATAACTATCTATCGCGACAGAAATGCGCAAATGTCGTTGGAACTCTCACTGCACTTGGCGCATGAATAGTTAACGTTGTATTTGTAAATTATCTTACAATTAGTTGCGATTTGCTCATACAATTATTTAACCGTCTAACAACACAAAGATATTGTATTATGCAGCATTTTTTTATCTAACTTTTTTTCTATGTGTACACGAACATTTGTTTTCATTTTATATGGATTACAAAAATTGATTTAACATCATTAAACATCATTATATGAATTATTAATTTATTTTAAAATTATCTTAACTCTTTTTAAAGGAAATTTTTGAAGAAAATTTGTTGTGTATAAATACGACAAATATGTCACTTTTTTTAAGGAAAATTTTTTGTGTATACATGTAATAAATATATGAATATGTGAATTCAGAAATCTAATTCAACTTAAATAAATGTAAACATTAAAAAATGATAATTCAAGATAAAATGTTAAATTTCAAAGAATTAAATGTTGCACAAAAAAATCACATAAATAAATTGTGTACATGTAAGATCCTTTGATTCAGATACTGCGTGCTTTGTCGAACAGACGACGATCCCGACTTAGAATTGTATTGCGCAATATCGAAGATCATCGTTCCGACCGAGGCGAGGGAGCCGTACAAGAATCGTGCCGAGAGGCATGATGTGTTGCAACGCGATTTTGTTAGTCTCTAAGAAACTGGGGCACGACGAAAGGAAGAATGAGATTGCAGCGGCGTTAGGCTTTGTGCTGATCGATACACGTGGTAATCCACAGCTCACGGTTACAAGGGGCACAGTGCTAATGGAGTCACTGATCCGCAGACCTTGTACAGGAGAAACTGTCCGTTCGATAAAACCAGTTGCGCATCGTTATAAGCGAATACGGAATCTCGTGCGCGTATTCAATCGATATTATTCCCAATCCTTCTTTTATATCTAATACATATCTCGCTATACAGCTTCGTTAGAAATTATTTTTTTGAAATGAGGAAATTTCGAATTTTTCCTCCGCGTTTGTACAATTATTTCTCACTCGATCTATATCGCTTTGTAATTTTCTTATCTTTAATATTTCATGTTTATTTCTTTTTAAAAATAATACACGTTATTTTTTTTCAGTTCGATAAAGAAAATAAAGTTGGACGTTATACTTGAAATGAGGACGAAGTTTCAACTGTCGCATAAGGTTGGCAAGTCCTTGGAAATTATAATCGTCATAATAGAGCTTGAAATGATATCTCGATGTTATCAACTTATATTATCAAACAATTTTTTTACATGATATTTTAGAAGAGAGAAATGGATTCCACCCTTCTTTTTCGGGAAATTTTAAAAGTGAAATTTCACTTGTATCTAAAAAAACATTGTAGAAAAAGGGAGTAAAAATGATCGTAGACGGAAGATTAAATAACTGAAACAATAATGAGTGAAAGAGAGAAATTATGCAAATTATTCATTCGTAACAAGTAGGATTTCAAATTAAATGTATAGTAAAGAAAAATGTGTATATAAATCACGTATATAATATCACAGATATAATATCTTGCTTCAAGTGTAGGTATAAACTCCAAACTTTGCCAACTTTATGCGACAGTTACAAGACTTCGTCCTCGTTTCAATCATAACATTCGACTTTGTTTACTTTATTGAACTCAAGTAACGTGAGTCAAAAATAAAATGATGATATATAATACAGTGAAGGCAATATTGATGGCAGATGTTTTCCGAGAAAAAATCCGATTGCAACATATTTCTAGAACGATTCCAATAGTTATCGTGCATATTCGCAACCGAGCATATCGCGTGACATAATAGAGACGAACGTAATTACGCTCACATAAATAAACGCCATACACCATATGCTTTTCTATAGTCAAGCATCATAAAATATACGTAGTAAAGATTGAAACTGACCTTATTGCAGCCGTAATTTATGTAGACTCCTTTGAGCTCATCTTCGGTTGAGAGTTCTGTGTTCGGGCTGTTCGGCGGGCTCTTCGGGCTGCAAATTCAAGGAAAAACCTGTTATGATCTATAAACGTTGTAGATAATGTAAATGGTAACTTCCCATCACAAAATCCTCCAACAGAGATTGTTGTTGTTTACGCTTATTTATTTAATCAACATTATTCAACACTTGTCGCTATGGCTCACTTAATTTAAAATTGCAACGATTCTCCACATGTTATTTTTATAGATAATCAGAATATTAAATTATCAAATTATATTGTATAAAATGTATTTTTGGTCACTTTTTTAAAATAAAATGCTTTAATTTAATTTTTGCATTATTGAAATGAGAGAGTTTTAAATTTTTTCTTTGTGAAATTATTTCATGTCCAATCTACATCGTTTTATAATTCTCATTTGATTTTAATATTTATTTTATATTTTAAATCGTATATTTTAATATCGTATATTTTAAAAAATTCTCGTTTTATGCTAGTGTATATATATA